AAAATGCAACAGCTGGGGATTTCACTCAGTGGTTCCTCCGACTGCTTTACAAGTGCAAGGTCCCAAGTTTGATCCCAGGTACAAAAAAAAAAAAAAACCCCAAAAAACAAAAAGATAAAATGCAGGCCAGGCATGGGGGTACACTCCTGTAATCCCAGCACTCAAAAGGCTGAGACCGAAGACAGAGAGGGTATGTTCAAGGCCAGCCCAGTCTACATAGCCAGCCAGAACTACATAGGGAGATTATCTCAAAAAGCTAAAAAAAAAAAAAAAAAAAAAAGAAAAAGAAAAAGAATACCTGGGGAGGAAGGGGTTGTGGGCTACTTATTATGGAGAACTTCAAGCATACACAAAGGGTTACAAAGTCCCATGTACCCTTCACCCTATGTTCAGCAACCACCAGCTCATGGTCAGCCTTCTAACCCCATTCAAATCCACGGCGCTCTTATAATCAAGAGAAAGCCCCTCAGATTGACATCTATTCCAAGCAAGGAATCCTGAGCACAAGAGCAGTTATTCAAAGATCAGAGGGAAAACCTTTTCAGGCCAAGGGAAGAGCAAGATCAAAGGCAGGAGGAGGGGCTATTTGAGGGAAGTGGAGTGGGTACAAAGGAGGGTGGGAGAGGTCAGGAAGAGAAGCTGGCAGACCTTGTGATAGCCCCTGGGGCTATGATAAGGGGTTTGGATTTTTAAAAAGGTATAATGGGGGGCTGGGAGGACAAGGTCCCAAGTTCTGGATCACCGGTACCCCCCCCCCCAAGAAGGTATAATGGAACTCCAATGAAGAGTTTTAAATTGCCACTTGACAAAGCCAGTTCTTCCTGGAAGACTGAAATATTGCAATAGCTTCCCATATTTAGCATAAAGCCTGATCTCACTAAAATTACCTATAGGAGCCTTTCCTTTGTTCTTTCAGTTGTGTGCCAGGTACACTCAGTTACTTCCTCAATCAGAGCTTTTTTTGCCTCTGGGCATTTGTCGTTGCTGTTCCCTTTGCCACAAAGACTCCATTCGAGTTGACTCGAGTTCATACTTAAAAATCACTTCTCAGGTGGGGGTAAGTGCTCCTTCTGGCCCCAACAACTTCCTATGCTGCACGTATTCCAGGTCTGACCCTTCTAGGTAGTAGTCTAATTAGCTGTGGATCTTCTTCGCATGCCTGGGGCGCCACATTACTGCAGAAAGTGTAGCCCTTGCCAGCATACAGCCTGACACATAAGAGACCAACGAATTTATCCTGCTTGGAGGGGTGTGAAGAAGGTTGCTAGGGGTCCTGGTCCTTCGGCACTGTCTTGGATGCAAAGTGATTCTCCGATTAAGCCCAGGCTACCTACTTTGCACTAGTCTGCAGTGCCTGCACGCATGCGCCGTATTCAAGCAAACCCACTCCCAACCCCACATGCTAATCACTGCGCTCGGGAGTTCAGCCTCTCCCGGGAATATGCAAATCACTCCCTTCCGTGCGGGAGGCCTTCCATTGTCCCGCGCTAGGATTATGCAAATGAGCAATCTTCCAGTCCAAGATCCTGGCCGCCTCGTCGCCGTCCACCCCCAGAGCATCCCATTTCTATGAGGCTCGTTGCTGCCGTGCGCACGCACGCGTGAGCTCCGCAGCTTCTCCGTCCTTCAGGCTGCGGACTGTACCAAGTAAACCCGGGCAGCGACGGGCAAAGCGCTGCAGCCCCTCCGTGGGCTCCGCTAACAGCCGGTCTCGGATAGCCCCTTTTCCCGCAGAACGACAAGAACGGTCGGTCGGGCCGCGCAAGCGCCCTCGGCTTCTCACACCCCTTGCTCTCCCTCCTACCCTACTGGCAAC